GAGCTGGCCGTACCGGACGGGGCACTGCGCGTCGTCCTGCGCCTTGTCCTGCGACTGGTACCGGAACTCGATGACGGTGCCCGCCGGCTTGGCCTCCGCGGCAGACATGTCGGCCATGTGGTAGGCGCGGTACCAGCGCTTGAGCGCGTCCTGCACGGCGGCGGTGGAGGGGGGTGGCGGGGAAGGCGGGGGGCGGCGACGGCGGCGGCGGCGGTGAGGGAGGTGGCAGGGAGGGCACGGAGGGTGGTGGCGTCGATGGTGGTGGCGGAGAGATGGCCGACCACGGCGAGGGCGGGAAGGGGGAGAGGAGCGCGACCTGCAGGAAGTGTCCAGGAAGTGTCCAGGAAGTGTCCAGGAAGTGTCTAGGAGGTGTCTAGGAGGTGCCTAGGAGGTGTCTAGGAGGTGTCTAGGAGGTGTCTAGGGAGGAGCGCGACCTGCATGGCGGCGGTGCCGACCTGCGTGTCGTCGAACAGAGCGAGCAGCGCGTTGGTCACCACCGAGCGGGAGACAGCGGCAGAGTCGGCGCCCGAGGCGGAGAGCTCGGAGCGCAGCTCGGCGACCACCTGTGGGACGTGTCGCGTATGTGTCGCGTATGTGTCGCGGGCGTGTCGCGGACGTGTCGCGGGCGTGTCGCGGGCGTGTCGCGGGCGTGTCGCGGACGTGTCGCGGGCGTGTCGCGGACGTGTCGCGGACGTGTCGCGGGCGTGTCGCGGGCGTGTCGCGGGCGTGTCGCGGGCGTGTCGCGGACGTGTCGCGGGCGTGTCGCGGGCGTGTCGCGGACGTGTCGCGGACGTGTCGCGGGCGTGTCGCGGACGTGTCGCGGACGTGTCGCGGGCGTGTCGCGGGCGTGTCGCGGGCGTGTCGCGGGCGTGTCAGCGGGGCGTGACATGGACATGTCGGGAGGGGCGGCGGCGCGAGCAGAGTGGAGGCGGATGGAGGTGGAGGTGGTTGGGAGGGGCGGCGAGGGAGGAGGAGTGTCGGGAGCGTCTCGGGCACCTCCTTGTTCTCTCGGCTACTCTCGGCTACTCTCGGCTACTCTCGGCTACTCTCGGCTACTCTCGGCTAATCTCGGCTACTCTCGGCTACTCTCGGCTACTCTCGGCACCTCGTCGAACGGCTTCTCCGCCTTGAAGAGGCCAAGATTACCCGAGATTAGCCGAGATTAGCCGAGATTAGCCGAGATTACCCGAGATTAGCTCCGCCTTGAAGAGGCCAAACTGCGCCGCGACGAGTGCCAGCTCCTTGTACTGAGCGCCGGGCAGCTGCGAGATCTCAGCGACCACGTCCATGTCGGGCGTGAGCGCCTTGAGCGGCTGCACGCCGAAGCGCTCGGGGAAGGTGTAGAGCGAGCGCAGCAGCGAGATGGCGAGGTCGACCCGCGCCGGCGTCTGCTCGTGGGCGAGCGCCTTCTCGTAGACGGCGTTTAGGTCGTCGGGCGACGACTTGAGCATCGCGGCGATGGCTTGGTCGGTCGACATGCCGGCGAACCTGGGGAGATGTGGGGAGGTGTGGCGAGGTGTGGGGAGGTGTGGGGAGGTGTGGGGAGGTGTGGGGAGGTGTGGGGAGTTGTGGGGAGGTGTGGGGAGGTGTGGGGAGGTGT